AAGCACAGCGCAGCAGCAGAATTGGCACAGCTGTCTTGAGATGGCTGTAGGATGCGGGGTTCACCGTCTGTAAATACATTACGTTTGAATAAAGCTTTGTTTCATCTGCTGTTGACTTGTATATGTATGTATTTATTGTGATGCTTGTGACGCTGTTTTATACACGAAGCCTTCAGTCGCTACCAAAGATGCGAATAACCGATGTCCATCGGATATGCTCGTTAACATCTAAAACTCCGGCCACCAGAATGGACCAGGGATTCAAGCTATATGCTTCCTCTTACATAATGGACTACGATGGTATGTAAGCTAGCGGAACGGAAATGCTGTGCAATGTCGCTAGCTAGCTAACGCTAACATAATCTGCCTAGTCTTTTTTTATGGATGTATGGATTTACATATTCACATTAACACGTTGTGATTTTTGCACCAGTATCTAATAAAGACAAGCTGACTGGTGATGTCCGCATTAGGGCAGCATGCTACAGGTCTACGAGGAGAAGCCACACAGCTGGAGAGTAATGTTAGAGATGGTGTGGGTGTTCTGTTCCAGTTCAGGGACCGTTTTTATTAAGCCGTTCGGAGTTGGAATAAGAATAGACGAATCTGTGATCATGACCAAGTCTCTTTGTTGTCCTGAGAGGCTAGGTAACGTAAATGCATGCAGAGTTACCTTACGAAAATTAACCATGGATTTATTATAGTAACCATAGTTTTTTGGCGGATTGAGTACCATTTGTATAACTACTATTTTACTATAAATACCATGGTTAAACTATGGTTAGTGTAACAAAATTACGGTTAATTTGCTGTTACAATGGTTTAACTACAATAACCATTTTTTGTTTTATTAATTGTAAAACTATGGTTAATTTTCATAAGGGTTGTTCCAAGTTCATTGTTGTTGTTTCTCTACGTTAAAAGATGAGGTCATTGGGGTATAGTTGACTCTGTAAGTCCTGAGTTTGTTATTCCATGTTATTCATTAACAGAATTTGTTAATTTTGAGATACCTGATTTTGTATTTTTGGTATTAATGGCATTGGCAAACTTGCCCCAGCAACCTAACTAGACTGATACTCAAGTCAATGTCATTATTTGTAAAAAAAAATAAATAAATACATTCCGTATATTTTTGTACAGATTGTTCTTCGGGATTCAGACCCTAATTCATGTCATTAGTGATATTAAAATATAGACAATATTGGAAGCATGTTTTGTCAATGCCACATTTCTACTTGTAATGATCAGGAACCTTAGAAGGACGTAAATGTATTATTAAATGCAATTTGTTTGCCCTCATTGTGTTATTTCTTTTTACATTTTCTTGTCTCTTATATTTTATATATTATTGTGTTTTTTCCCATCAGGGAGTGAAACCTGGGCCAATAAACAAGAAGGCCATCACCAGACCAAGACTCTCACAATATCTCTCACTTAGGATTGTTGGAAGGGGAGAATTGGGATTATTTTGTAGTGTGTGACTTCCTTTAGCTCCCGTCACTGTAAATACTGCATGGTTCATGGATGGTTATACAATCTACAGGATCATAGGCAGTATAGTAAATGTGATTATAGTATAGTTGTCACGAATCCGGTTCATGGACTTCCGTCCAATTATCACCAGAGGTCGCTCTTCCATTTTAATGACTCTCTCACTACACAGACTTTCACGTCACCCTTTGCAAATGGATCCGCACATCTCTCGTCCCTGTCGCCTCGTTACAATAGTAAAAGCAGTACAGTATTTGTAAATTTTATGGGTCTGGCTTCTGGTTTCATCTGCATCCAGCTATTTTTAGCTGTACAAAACAGCTCATTTTGCTGCTTGATATTGCAAATTGGTGTGTCTTACTGTATTATTTTAATGTATTATCTTAATTATGAACACACTGGTTTGTAGTGCAGACAGTTTTACCGTTTTCTGCATGTTGTTATTCTCGTTATTTCCCTGTTGCGGCTAATGAACCAGAAGTCTCACCCATAGGCTTACTTCCGTGTTAAAGAAAAAGGTGGATAGGACATGCTGCACTCATTAGTATGAGTGCTGTACACTTCTCGAAACAAAACGGTAAAACTGTTTCTCTAACATATTTACTTGTCAGTGTGTGACCATTGCTGCCTTTAACATTTTCACTATTACTGTCTTTTACAGAAGTACACTCTACAAGGGCTTGGTTGGGGACCCCCTTGACATGTATTTGGTGCAGATTGAAGACACATTCAAAGACTTTGCAATCACAGAGAAACCTTTAGTAGCAACTATGGGCATATGTGAAGAGAAGACCCTTGTAGAGACAGCGTTTGGCTTGGCACAGAAGGGGAGTGCACTCTCTTACCAGCAGCCTAAAATGCCAACAAAGTCGGTCAACATGCATCAACATCGTCCATCTTACCCACCACTGCCTCTTGGGGAGTACAGGCTTGACCCTACAGAATGCGTGCATGCGTGCACTGAGGAGGAGCATTTCCACCTGAAGAGCTTGATGATCACACTGGACATGTCCTATAAGATTGAGGCTGCCACAAGAGCGCGAGCAGCAGAACAGGAGTGGCATCAGCTACGCAGGCCTAGGATTACCTCTTCACGTTTCAGAGAGGTGTGTTTTGTCAGGGGAGTGAGTTCTGCAGAGTCTCTTGCTGAAAGAATCCTCAAAGGAACAAAGCAGACTGCCGAAATGAAAAGAGGTGCAGAGATGGAGTTTGAGGCTGCAGTTGAGTACTCCAGGATGAAAAATGTCAACTACAGACCTTGTGGCCTCATCATTCACCCGGATGCCCCTTGGCTTGGTGCCTCACCAGATGGCTTGATTTACGATCCATCCACACAGCCCCCGTTTGGATTGGTTAAGATCAAGTGCCCTACCGTGAAGAGTTACATGGACTGTACATATATTCAAATGCAGCATGGCACTTCAGCACTCAGTGAAAACCACTCCTATTTCTGGCAGATCCAGAGTCAAGAACGATTCAGTGGCTCACACCTTAAAGTATAAGTTCACTTCCCGAATAAAAATGTCCTGATAATTAAGAAATTAAATTAAGTTTTTGAGGAAATTTTCTCCATATAGTGCACTTCAATGATGGCCAACGATTTCATTGTCAAAAGTGCAGTTTCAATGCAGCTTCAAAGGGTTCTACACGATTTCAGCCGAGGAATAAGAGTCTTACTGTATCTAACGAAACAATCGGTCATTTTCTTAAAAAAATTTATTAATGCACTTTTTAACCACAAATGCTCATGGCGTCGCAAATGGCAGCCACAACGCTGAGCTCCGCAATTCTTGTGATGCTTTTGTTGGTTTGTTCTGTGTTTTGTCATTCTTCTTCTATAAGTTTTACCAGAGACGAACTCCTTAACATTAAGCAACACATCCCAGACAATATTTTTCCGGTTTTTGATTATTCATACGTTTTGCTGGACATTCTAGTCGGAGGTACAGCTGTGTTGTTCAAACGCACGTGCAGACACAGAAGAGGGAAACGCGCCGGCGCCCTGGTTAAGCTCCGCGCGCGCGGCTTTCGGACTGCGCTCCCAAGCATTCATCTTGCGAATGTCCGTTCCCTTCTTAGCAAAACGGATGAACTAGTTCTTCTCCTCAACCGCATCAACAAGGACTTTTCAAACTCCGCTGCATTGTGCTTCACTGAAACCTGGCTGAGTGAAGCCATTCCGGACAACGCGCTTCATCTGCCAGGCTACCAGCTGTTCAGAGCGGATCGCATCGCGGAGTTAACGGGGAAAACCAGAGGAGGTGGATTGTGTTTCTACATCAACGAACGTTGGTGTTCAGATGTAACAACGCTGAAAAAGGTATGCTGTCCTAATTTAGAGGCACTCATCATAAACTGTAAACCTTTCTACTCGCCGCGGGAGTTTTCCTCTTTCATTCTCGTGAATGTGTACGTGCCTCCGGACGCGTGCGTGAGCGCCGCGATGCAACAGCTGGCCGAACAAATAACTGAAATGGAGCAAAGGTACCCAGACTCTATTTTAATCATTCTTGGAGATTTTAACAAATCAAATCTCTCCCGTGAACTGCCAAAATACAAGCAGCACATTACGTGTCCCACCAGAGACAGCACTATTTTGGATCACTGTTACACAGCAATAAAGTTGGCCATGATTCAGGACATGGTGTTGATAAATTTTAGACCTCTTTCTTATCTAGTATCTTGCTTTTCGGAGAGGAATGCGGTTGCCGCGATTACTGGGTTACTGTGCTAAAAAAAAAGAAAAAGTTTGCGGTAATTTCAGCACCACAGCGTTGAAACACTCAATGCTTCTGACAACCTTGCCTTCTGTGCTTTGCAAATACAATAGACCTGCCACAGGAGCTGCTGAAACAGGACAGACTCAATGATAGCAGAGTAGAACTGTGTTCATCCATAACTGTCTGGTTTGGTTCAGCTACAAAATCAATATCATCCATCACAACTGACATACAGTATTTATGCACAGAATCCAATATTTGTACACTTGTAAACTGCACACTTTATAAATAACATATCTGCACAGTTATATCATATCTGCACATTTATCTAAACAATTACATTTTTTAACTATACTTCTATTTCTGTATATAGTACATTATTTAATTAGTTTTTTTTCTTACATTAGTGTTATATTCCACCCCTACTGTGTTATTCCTATGTATGTCTGCACTATCATGTATGCACTATGTCAGTACTTTCTTCTGCACTGGAAGCTCCTGTCGTCAAGTCAAATTCCTTGTGTGTGTAAAAATACTTGGTAATAAAGCTCTTCTGATTCTGAATGAGCGTGCATGCACGCTCTGTTTACGAACGACTCAAATTCATTAGCATACATGTTTAACTATCAAATCTTATGTTTACGAAACTTTTGTGAATCCGAAGGAGTTCATTAGAGTATAATGAGAGTTCATTATAAGTTTATGTCCTTTTATTTGTAACAAAAATTAAAGTATAGACGTATAAAAGAAGTGGTCGTGAAAGTGGACAATCAGATGTAGTGTGAACAGAGCCTTAATTTCACACACACGTATACATTTTCTGTTTTCACAAGGACCACAAACAGGGTCTCACATTTATGTCTTTTCATATGCATCTGTTAAGTGTGATGGCAAAAGAAAAAAAAATGTTACATGGATCACAATTGAACTGATGTCGTTCAGAATGAATGCATATGGCTTAGTTTTGTAAATCAACTTTGAAAAACAAATTTATAGCTGTCTTTGTATAGAAATGTGCAGCTTTGGAGCCGCTGACGTGAAGCTCAAGCTTGCGTTGTGAAACAGGCACAAGTCTGTAAATGACGCTTCAGGCCTGAGTGATACATGAAAGTCTTCTCACACTGAAGACACTTGTAAGGCCTCTCTCCAGTGTGAGCTCTTATGTGAATCTTCAGGTTTCCTTTGTACGGGAAACTCTTTCCACACTGAGGGCAGATGAATGGCTTCTCTCCAGTGTGAACTCTTACGTGATTCTCAAGGTTTGCTTTGTTTGCGCAAGTCTTTCCACAGTGATCGCACATGAAAGGCTTCTCTCCAGCGTGAGTTTTTACATGATTCTTAAGGCATTTGCTGTCTTCGAAGCTCCTTCTACACTGATGACATATAAAAGCCCCCTCTCTTTTGTGAATCGTAATGTAATTGTTAAGGTTTTCTTTAAATCTGATAGTATGATATTGCATGTGGACATTAAGGCTTTTTTTGTGTGTAAAACTCTTTCCACACTGATCGCATGTGAATGGCTTTTCTCCAGTGTGAGTTCTCATGTGATCCTTAAGATGACCTTTTTGTGAGAAACTCCTCCCACACAGTTTGCAGGTGTACAGGCACCGTCCAGTGTGAATACTCATGTGGGCATTTAGGATTTTTTTCTGTGTAAAACTCTTTCCACACTGAGAGCAGGTGAAAGGTCTCTCTCCAGTGTGAACACTCATGTGGCCGTCAAGGTTTGTTCTGTCAGAGAATCTCTTTTCACACTGTTGGCAGGCGAAAGGCTTCACTCCGGTGTGAATTTTCATGTGCCTGTTAAGGGTTTGTTTGTGACTGAAACCTCTTCCACACTGATGGCAAGTGAAAGGTTTAATGTTTCTAGTTCCTTTGTTTTGTGAGGACGTCTTTTCAATCTCTTGAGTCGCTAAAATCTTTTTCTCCAGTCATGAACTGATGAGGTTTCTCATATTGATCCTTTTCTTCCATATCATTGAGATCTTGACTCTCCTCTTTCAGTGGCATCAGGTCTAAAGCGGAAAGAAACATATACAAGTTAACCCCGGTTTAATAGCACAAAGCAACAGACATTCAAACATTTACACACGTAAAGCATCAAACACAACCACGTGTATACTAGATCCTATTTCCACAAAGCTACTGTAAACTGTAATCGCAGAACCTTTTGTAAATATTGTTAACTGTTTGTTTTCTTTAGGATACATCCCAAATTTTTTAAGCTGGCAGTCATCAAGCCTCTCATAAAACAAAACAAAACAATAGGGGACTGCTTTGGGACTGGGATCCTGCGGTTCTCAACACAAATCTCATGGGAGCAGGCAGATTTACATTTGCACGCCCCGGGATTTAACAAGAACAATGGAGTAAACCAGTGGTTCTCGAAGGGGTCGCAAGAGGGTTTAAAAAATTAAGTGGAATTTTTTTGTGTGATTTTAATAAACATTTTTCAATATTACAAGTAAATATTTTCTTATTTTTAAAGATATTGGTCTATATGGTCTATAACGTACAATAAACCAATCAGAGTCTCATCTCCCATTCCCTTTAAGAGCCAGTTGCGCTCGTGCCATGGCGGATTTGCTATTTACACGGCGGAATTTGCAAGCGCAAAGACTGAACGTGTCTCCAGAGAGAAAACGGAGCTGCTCGAGCCTAATTCTGATACATGCAGTGACTATCCATTATGACATGTAGGCATTTTTATTATGTAGCCTACACAATAATAACATTTTACATTGTAATCCTTTAATTTTTTATATTTGGCATGTTTGTGTGCTGCTGTGCGTCCCTGTGTGTGTAATAAGTGTTCGTGCGTTGTGGACCTGCCTATAGGTGCATATGACTAACGCGCTCTTTAAATAACAAAAAAAAAAAAACTGCGCCATTGACTTTAGACCAGGTTTTAGTTTGTCAATGGCACAGTGTATTCCAGTTGCTTCAAAATAGCAATGCGCCTGAACACGCCTCGTTTTCAGACCAGCACGCCCATGAACGCACAAATGGGCGCAAATGCATTTGCTATTTAAACAACGTGGCGCAGGACGTGAAAATGATAACTGCGTCGGGCTGAAACTAGCAAAAAACACTTGTGTCGCACCTGGCGCCGCCATTGCACCGGGTGTATGATAGGGCCCTAAGAGTCAACTGATTGATAGGATGAATGAGAAAAATATATGCACTACAGGTCGACGAATCTGCTGATGTGTCTAATTCTGCTCAGTTGCTGGCGTTCATCGGATACAACATTTGACGGAAAACTGCATGAGGATATGCTCTTCTGCTCAGCACTCGAGGGGACTTGTACAGGCAGTGACATTTTCACCAAACTGGACACCAAAATAAAAGAGATGGGACTTTCATGGGATAATTGTGGTGGTGTATGTACTGATGGTGCTGGCGCACTGGTAGGTAAAAACAAGGGACTCGAGGCAAAGGTTTTAGAAGTGGCTCCTCACGTGAAGTTTACACACTGCATCATACACCGCGACTCTCTTGCTAGCAAAACACTTGACTCTGAACTAAACAGTGTTCTGAAACGTGCAACCAAAATCGTAAATCACATAAAATCTTGTCCAGTAAACAGCAGACTACTAGCCAAACCTTGCAACGAGATGGGCTCACAGCACGAAGCATTGCTGTTTCACACCGAAGTCCGAGGGAAGATACTCGGACGTCTTTAATTTGGAATTCGCCCACTGCCTGTTAGATCTAGCTTGGTTATCAAAACGTGCTTATTTGGCATGTATATTTGAAAGGCTTAGCATGCTTAATCTGCCATTACAAGGGCCAAACACAAACATCCTGACGATGAATGACAAAGCTGATGCATTTATGAAAACGCTGGAAAGATGGTCTGAGTGAGTCGAACAAGGTAATGTGGAGATGTTTCCTGAGCTTGAGGAGCATCTGGAGGAGAGTGGACTGACTCTCAGCAGCCTGAAAGAACACATCGCTGGTCCTCTCCGCACCATTTTGGAACAATTCAAGAAGTATTTCCCAAAAGAGATGCAACCAGAACTGTATGACTGGATACGGCAACCATTTTCTGAATCTAGGTCTCGTCTCCCCTCAAATCTGGTAGATGCTTCGCTGGAGCTGTCCAGTGATCGAACATTAAAAACTTTATTTTCCAATTCCACACTGCCAGATTTTTGGATCGCAGTAGCAGACGAATACACAGAGTTATCCAGTGCGGCAATGGATGTACTGCTTCCGTTTGGATCTATATATTTGTGCGAGCAGTTAGAGCTTTACGATTAATGAAATGCGATTGTCATGTGTATCTTGTCAGTAAAGCCGGTTCTGTGATTAGTAGTAAATCTCCATCACGTGCTTTCAGATGGAGCAGCATTTACTACACAGAGCTGTAGTTCACTGACAAGCTACGCAAAATCGCGTTCATAATCGCAGAACGATATAATTGCACGATAATGAAATCGAAGATATTGTTCTGCGATTATGAAAGCTGTTTGCGTAGCTTCTCAGTGAACTACGGCTCTGTGTAGTAAATGCTGCTCCATCTGAAAGCACGTGAAAATACCACATTTAATAACATGTTTTTACTCCAAACTCACTTCATAACGTCAGTCGAGTGTTTGAAATAAATCCTTCTGTGAGATGATGTGGCTTCTTACACAGAATAAGGCACGCAACATATTTTATAGTATTCTAAGCAGTGATAAAGGCTGTCGATTAGCATTGCATTATTATATACTTTATTTTAATAAGAATTATAATAAGATGAACTCAGATAAACGATATATTGTCGTAGTCGTGTGTTTATTAGTCACGTTGAATCAATGAAAGCAGTTGAATCTTCTGTTTATTCAGCTGCAGCGATAGGCATTTTCTGGGTTTCTTCTGCGAGGCGTATTTGGAGTTTCTCTGGCCTTCGGATGGAGATTTACTGCTGATCACAGAACCGTGCTTCACTGAAAGATACGCATGACAATCGCAGCTTCTGCCTAATCGCGATTTTTGCGATTTAATTCCGATTAATCGTGCAGCCCTACGAGCAGTCTTTTTCCACTGTTACATAAAAAGTAAATACCGATCATGTCTTGATGTCGAAGATGATCTGCGAGTAGCCGTATCCACCATCAGGCCACGGATGAAGCTTTTGTGCTGCCAAAAACATGTACTCCCATCCCATTGAAAGGTAAGCCAAAATTAATTTGAAGTATAGTACATATAGTTAAAATATTGTGAACGGCTTAAAAGAAGTCGTTTTGTTTATTGTTTGTGTATGCTTTGGTAGTGGGGGTCGCGAGTTCTTGTCGATCTTACATTAGGGGTCGCTGGCTTAAAACCACTGGAGTAAACAAATGAATGAAGTTGAGAAGACTATATAAGATTATATAAAACCAAAACGAGGCAGATCTGACATTTGGACACATTTCTCAGTTGTTACTGGAATAAAATGGGAAGACTTGGACCTGTTGTAGTGCTTTACTTTAGCTTGACAGGAACACAATGATCTTAGGGTCTGTTTAATTGAGTGAAATGTTTTATTTCTATTATTCTGGGGTGCATTTTACCGTACAAGGACCCAACTTGTACCATATTTTTCTTACACAATGCATCGATTTGCTTCAGAAGGCCTTTATTAACCCCCGGAGCTGTGTATAGTACTTTTTTATGATGGATGGACAGTTATTTGGACTTCTATTGGACTATTGCATCTCAACAGCCATTCACTGCCATTATAAAGCCTGGAAGAGCCAGAATGTTTCTTAATATAACTCTGATTGTATTAGTCTGAAAGAAGAAAGTCATATACATCTAGGATAGCTAGATAAGGATCACATGACTGAGTTCAGCTTTGAGAATGAAAACCAACCTGTTTGTTCCTCAGTATCTTCTTGTTTCAGACTGAATACTTCTTCAATCTTCACGTCTTCAATCTCCTCCTTAATGAACGCCATCTGTATAACCATGTGTCACGTAGATTTCAGTTACTTCACCAGTTTTTCTGAGTGACATTTAAGATGAGAATAATTAACAGAAGTAAAAAATACATGCAAACTAAATGTCTCAATCAGCTCCCTAGTTCAGCAGTCAGCGCACTGATAAGGGAGTCAGTCAAAGTAGGAGTTAATGGCATAATAATTATATATATATATATAAAAAACTAGCACAATAATAAACTATCACAAATGATCTATAAAGTTCATATTTAGGTATTTATGATTTATATAGTTGGTATTTGTGGATAGCATGTATTATATCAGATTTTTGTTAGTGCACTAGTTAAATACAGGTTTGTAAGAGTTATCATCACATGTTTATGTTTTGGTTGTGTTTACATTGTGCGGACCGTCAGCGCGCGGTGATTCAAGAGATTCGAATCACTGAATCGGTTCGCGAAGCAATTGATTCAATTGACTCCGAGTTTCTAAAAGCACCGTTTCTCCATCACTTGCTGATCAATTCGTGTTTATGGTAAACTGATACACGATAAAGGAAGCAAAGTGAGGTGCACTTTTCTGTTACTGATGTGTGGATGCGTTTTAATCACACAAATAGCGCTCATGAATGTTAGATGATGCATTGCAATATTACATTAAACAATAATTAATTTTACATCACTTTTTAAAAAACTATGAAATTGCTCGAACGGGTTGCATCGATTTAAACACTTTGCTTTAAATGACTAAAAACACAAACCTTTCTTCAGTCGAATCACAGGGCGGTTTTATGACGTCACACCATCAGAACAAAATAAAAGTCCTAAATAATTTTTTTATATGTGGCAAAGTATTCAAATATATTTTCCAGTGATGTTCTGAAAATAACTACCAATGAAAGATATAAGCCTGTGTGAGATTCTGTCTAAAAGGCAAAACCGCTATTAGTGCAGAAACTATTTATACCAGGGGTCAGAAGTAG